CTACTGGATCACTATGACATGGCCTTGGATGCACTGGAAGAAAATCAGAATGCAGATGTAATATACACAGACTTTGCAAAAGCATTTGACAAATGCGATCATGGCGTAATAACCCATAAAATACGTGCTAAAGGAATAACTGGGAAAGTGGGGAGATGGATCTTCAACTTCCTAACAAATCGAACACAAAGAGTAGTGGTCAACAGAGTTAAATCGGAGGCTGCCATAGTGAAGAGCTCTGTTCCACAAGGCACAGTACTCGCCCCCATCTTATTCCTTATCCTCATATCAGACATAAACAGAGATATACACCACAGCACCGTATCATCCTTTGCGGATGATACTAGGATCTGAATGAGGCTGTCATCTGCTGAGGACGCGGTTAACCTCCAAGAAGATATAAACAAAGTTTTCCAGTGGGCAACGGTAAACAATATGATGTTCAATGAGGACAAATTCCAACTACTCGGTTATGGAAAACTGGAGGAAATAATAACTAGAACAGAGTATACTACTGACTCCGGCCATACAATAGAGCGGAAAAATAATGTAAGGGACCTGGGAGTAGTAATGTCTGAGGATCTCACTTTCAAGGATCACAACAGTGCCACGATCGCACGTGCAAAGAAAATGATAGGATGGATAATGAGAACTTTCAAAACGAGAGATGCCAAGCCCATGATGATCCTTTTCAAATCACTTGTTCTCTCTAGGCTGGAATACTGCTGTACATTAACATCTCCATTCAAAGCAGGTGAAATTGCAGATCTAGAGAGTGTACAGAGATCCTTTACTGCACGTATAAGTTCTGTCAAGCACCTTAACTACTGGGAACGCTTGGAAGCACTTGACTTGTACTCGTTGGAACGCAGGAGGGAGAGATATATCATAGTCTACACTTGGAAAATCTTGGAAGGAATGGTCCCAAATCTGCACACAGAAATCACTCCCTACGAAAGTAAAAGACTGGGCAGGCGATGCAAAATGCCCCCAATAAAAAGTAGGGGCGCCATTGGTACACTAAGGGAAAACACCATAAGTGTCCGGGGCCCAAAACTGTTCAACAGCCTCCCATCAAGCATTAGGGGAATTGCCAATAAACCCCTGGCTGCCTTCAAGAGAGAGCTGGACAGATACCTAAAGTCAGTGCCGGAGCAGCCGGGCTGTGGCTCGTACGTTGGATTGCGTGCGGCCAGCAGTAACAGCCTAGTTGATCAGGCCCTGATCCATCGGGAGGCCTGGTCATGGACCGGGCCGCGGGGGCGTTGATCCCCGGAATAACCTCCAGGTAACCTCCAGGTAGCAATCGAGCTACGGGACACCCTTAATGTGGTAATAGATTGAGCAATAGAGGGGAATAATCCTGTTGGGTATACCTGGCAAGGCGTGTGGTAGAGTTGTTATTGAAAGAATTAAGAGCAAGAGAGGAGGATCACAGATGAACAAGGAGGTTTTAGGAAGGGTAGGGGGAATGTAGAACAAGTGTTTATTTACAATGAAGGATACAAGTGAACAATATTTAGATAAATGTAGGGAAATTTTCGTTGTATTTATGGATTTAGAAAAGACATGACAGGGTGGATAGGAAAGCAATGTGGCAGATGTTGCAAATATATGGAATAGGTGGTAGGTTACTGACAGCAGTTAAAATTTTGTTATGATAGTGAGGCTAAGGTTAGGGTGTGTAGGAGACAGGGAGATAATTTTCTAGTAAAAATAGGCCTTAGACAGGGACCTGTGATGTCACCATTGTTGTTTAATATATTTATAGATGGCGTTGTAAAAGAAGTGCATTCTCTGGTGTTGGGGAGAGGTGTGGGATTAAAAGATAAAGAACCTAATATAAAGTGGGAGTTGTCGTAATTGCTTTCTGCTTATGACACTGTGCTTTTGCGAGATTCTGAAGAAAAGTTGCAAAGGTTGGTGGACGAATTTGTAATGATACGTAAAAGAAGTTAAGGGAATGAATAGAAATATAGTGGTACCAACATTATTACATGGGTGTGAAACATGGGTTGTGAATGTTGCAGCGAGGAGGAGACTGGAGGCATTGGAGATGTCGTGTCTAAGAGCAATGTGTGGTGTGAATATTATGCGAATTTGTAGCTTGGAGATTTTCTAGAGGGCTGAGGAGGGGTTATTGAGGTGATTTGGACATTTAGAGAGAATGGAGCAAAATAGGATGACTTGGAGGGTATATAAATCTGTAGTGGAGGGAATATAAATCTGTAGTGGAGGGAATATAAATCTGTAGTGGAGGGAAAGCAGGGAAGGGGTTGTCCTAGGAAATGCTGGAGGGAGTAAAGGAGATTTTGTATGAGAGTGGCTTCAACAACCAACAGCCTTGTACGAGTGTGTTAGATAGGAGTGGAGACAGGTGGTTTTTATGACTTTACGTGCTGTTTGAGTGTGAGCAAGGTAACATGAAGGGATTCGGGGAAATCGGTTAGCCGAACCCAAGTCCTGGAGGTGGAAAATACAGTGCCTGCGCTCTGAAGAAGGGGTGGGGATATTGCAGTTTGGAGGAGCATATGAACTGTAGTATTGGCATGTCTATGGCAAAACAGTGATGGAGTGACTCAAAATGTTTCTTTTTGCTTCACCCTACCTTGGTAGGAGACGGACGGCCGTATATTAAAAAAAAAATCTAAGCGCCCCTAAAACACGCAGTATCAGCAACACATAGTCAAGGTAAAGAAAAAAAAAGTTGAGGAAGGTCTAAAGATTTACAGCAAGACTAGTGCCAGAAGTAAAGGGACAAACGTTAACAAGACAAAGTGCACGAGCTACAATTCACGACAAGTAAATGTAGGACGAGGTCATGAATGCAACACGCCTCAGAGCAATGGAGAGAACTGGACCACACCACAGAATGACCTTTTGGGGCGTCAGGAAATATTTCATCAGCCTCAGGGCAGTAGAGAGCTTGGCCACATCAGATTAGATTTTTAGATTTTGCCACCTAACCGGCTAATTTACTATGCACTTCATATCCATCCTGTGGACGGTAGTGGCTAGATAACTGTACAATCCACGTCCATCCTATAGACGGTAGTAGCTAGTTCATCTAGAGAAAGGAGAACTGTCGAAGTTGGAAAACTGTAAAGAACAGCACAGCAGTGAGCCTCACGAAGGGAAACAGCAAAGGAACCAAGCAATACACTGTACCCTTAAGTAAGAGTTAAGAGTACTGCCTGGTTCTTGAGATGACAAGAATACATGCAAGATATTGAATATAATAAAGTGCAAACTACCTGGAAAATACAAACTTTTATTAAAAAAAAAACAGATTTCAGAAAGGAAATCCTGGCAAACATGAATGAGTTCTACGATAAGATGGCAAATATCAAACACTGATCAGTATGACACATTAAACCCACCTAAGAGTCAGTAGCATCAATCCTAGCACACGACCTCTTTAGCTGGAGTGAGGAAGGTACGAGTTATACATCACCACTATTTTTTCATTTAGATTTGGCCGCCGAAGTGGTTAGTTTAATGTGTACCCTACATCCATCCTGTGGATAGTAGTACAGGAGCATATGGATGCACAAAAGACCTGAGAACAAGGTTCCATAAGGGTAAGCAGTTGTACATCTGGATATATATATCTGCGATATATAAATCCTTTGCTGAAAGCAAATTTGGAATACTTGATTAAAGGGTCTGCTATCTTATTTTCATTAACAAGAGCCTTCAACATATTACACAGTTTATACTATCTCGGTTCCTCAGTAAGTAGAAAAATGAAGCAGACAGTGTTCAAGAGATTGACCTTAAGACTGGCTGTATACTTTGCATACAGTTTGATCATCGTTTTTGTGTATGCCAGTTTGTAAGAAATATTTGTAACTATGCCTATGCTTGGCAACTATAAAAGTCTGTTCACACTGCAAGTTGCTCCGTAATTGTGCTTATATTCGCTAATGTTTTCATAGCAAATTACAGATCTAATCAAGATTTAACTGCATTCCTGTTACAGTCTAATTAATCTACTTCTCTTAATATTTTAATGTATATACACACATATACCAAAGTTATATTATATTATTTCCTTCAAGGTACTTTCTTTGGCTAATTTATCAACGTCATCGTGAAGAGGAGGCATGATCTGACAACAGTTGATCAGATGACGACGAGGTTTGACTGACCTCCATTTACACAGCCTTCATAGGTGGTCAGCCCTTTAGCCTAGAACAGAGGCATGAGGCTAGAGACATGTTCATGGGAGCTAGAAGTAAAGTGCAGCAGTTAGCGATGCCTTTACAAGCGAGCAGGGCTCACTTGTCAAGGTTATGGTTAATAACTGTTCAACGACCTATCAAGGCTGAGGGACTGATCACCTTAGAATTGCCTCTCCACTGCTTTTAATCTCTCACAAATAACTCGTAGCTAGGAGACAAACACCGCCGCCGCAGTATCCGTCATCTGGAACCAATTGTGATCTTTTACGAGATGTTATGGTGGGGTGAGTCAAGGGATCACCCGCAGCCAAACTTTATACAACGAGCCTGGCATCATTAGGGGTTGTGTTTACAATTGAACTAAAGTTAAATATCAGACCAATGATGCACGAGCGATGTAATGATTCAGTTTGGTCTAATTAACCACGGTATATTCGCTAAGGTGTGGAATTCCAATAGAAACATATAGATCGACCAAGAGGACATCTTAGAAAGGATCGCTGTAACTCTGGCTGACACAATGAGACAGCTACAAGACACACGTTTTACACTCTTGTAAACCAGTGTAACTTTAATCCGCTGAGCCAGTTATCTATAAAATGCAACAGTACAGACACAATACTAGGAAACTAGTAAGCTTTCAAGCCTGCTAGGAAACAAGCCCGGCTTGTCAATCTCCTTGCACCGCCGCTCACGTAACTCACCCGTTGGATCACCTCAGTAAAGATACCTAAGTGTTGCACAAGTGTTTTCTTACTTATCAACTTGTCGGTTTTCTTAACCTTTTACTCAAACGTTGCAACTTACTTACCTTATCATGATGCTGAGGACAACATGTGTGAAGTGAGTTCAGTTCTGCCACCACTGAGGACATGTGTGAAGTGAGAGTTCAGTTCTGCCACCACTGAGGACATGTGTGAAGTGAGAGTTCAGTTCTGCCACCACTGAGGACATGTGTGAAGTGAGAGTTCAGTTCTGCCACCACTGAGGACAACACGTGCCTGAAATATTACAAATTACAACTTTGTAGACAACTTTTATGATTATTTTAATGACCTGAAAAGCACTTTAACTTTGAGACTATTGAACGGTTTACGTAATTTCTATAAAAAATATAAAGCCTCCTACCATAAGAGACGGGAAGAAAGCTTCCAACGGTCTGGCAAAATAATGTTTTATGAATATTAAATCAAATAAGGCTTTGCTATATAAATAACAAGAAGAGAGTTTCAGTGAAATCGCATGAAAAAATTGGAGAGAATGTAAATTGTTATAATCGTAAAGGACATATTAAGCCAGAGGATATATTCAAAGATGCAGGATAACAGTGTTATAGAAAAAAACTGGTAACAACAGTATTCGACTCCATAAATACAGTGTGACTTTGTCAATGGTCCAAGTCGGACCGAAACGTCGTCGTAAGCTTCTGTCTTTTATGTGCGGGTTATTTGTGTATTCGACTCCATATTTGCCTGTTCATTACTCAGAATAGTAGGCAGTCATGTTTGATACAAGGTCCTTGAATCAAGAGCCCCTTAACGGCATCAAGGAACCTTCACAGAGGATCTGGTGTGCACAAGATCATGATATTAACAGTCCAGGACCAACAAGCTGATTTAGTTGGAGCAATATGGAATGTCCAGCTTTATCTCTAATCCTGCCCCTGGAGCTATAGCTCCAGGGGCAGGATCAAGTACCAGCCTAGCTGAGATATACACACACCTATGCATGGCGCATACACGAGACATCAACGTTTGAGTTGGGTGGTAATGGGTGGTAGGTGATGGGTAGTGGGTGGTGGTGGGCGGCGTCATGGGTGACTATTGCAGCAGCTAAACACACATCTTCATAAACGTTAGAACCAAGGAAAACACTTTTAGAGGCGATTCCTCATGACTAAGTTCATTGAGAGGAATTAAAGTGAACAGCAGCAAGCCCATTCTAGGCAGGTCCATCTCAGAACAAACCATATGTAGCCATATATAGTACAACTAGTATACCAACTAAGCATGCAATCAACTATCAACTTTACTGTCAAACCTTCAGTAGGAGTACGTACATCAACCAGAAAGAAGAGTACTAACAAGAATTTAAATTTTGTCTTCTGGTTGTTAAAGTTGACCCAGTAACTGGTTGTTAAAGTTGACCCAGTAAGGAGGGAGGGAAGGAGACAATCAGATTCAGTACAAGTGAGAGAAACTCCAGTCCTTTGGATTAAGAGCTCTTCAGCGGTGTCGAGGAACCTCCTTTGAAAGATTCTGCAGGTAGCATCGGGGGGGGGGGGGGGGGTCATCTTAGTCACTCGCGTTTACTTTGCTGATGCTGGTTAAGTAATTAAGGGTAATTCTGGGTATCGACTTTAAAGATTTAGTAAACCTGTAAGTCTTTCAAGGATAGGTAAGGAAGTCATTTAAACGAGTACCTTTGAGGGTAAGTTATTATATTCACAGGGAGGCGCCAAGCCCATAGGTGGAATATAGCATCTAGGGAATGGTAGGGAATTAGAAAAGGGCAGTTTTAATTTCATTGATCAAGAACCCGTTATTTAATTTGCTTTCTCTTTTTTTTTTGCACAGTGGAATAAAGAACGCATATCAAAGCCTGGTACTATCAACAGCCTCCACATCCCCCCCAGGATGCCAGCAACACACAGGTACCTAGTTAGGTGACATTAAGGATTGGGGCTATACAAGAGGAGTAATGAGACTTCCCCATACTGCTCTATTCTCGATGCTTGAACTCTGGATCCTTCGATTGAGAGTCTTAAATGCTACCATCGTCATCCCTTAAGCTTCCCATATATATATTTCTGTACATTGATTATATTCAGCGGCGGCGTCAAGGAAGAAGCAAGGGAGGCTGAAGCCTCTTATAATCTCCATCATTATTATTATTATTATAATCAAGGGGGAAGCGCTAAACCCGGAGGATTATACAGCGCCTGGGGGGGGATGTGGAAGGCATTCAGGCTTAATTCGGGGAACTGGAGCACCGATCCAATTCCCTAAATCAAGAGCCCCTCACCAACATCAAGGAACCTTCCTTGAGGGGATAATCTCCATCAGATGTCGCTGCTCCCTCCCCAAAATAAAAATAACGCAGCTTCAAAATAAGTCCCTGGCTTCCCTTCCCTTCCAGCCAGCTTCCCTCCCACTAAGCTCCTCCAATATAGAAATTCTGGAGCCGCTACTGATTATATTGTGTGTTTTGGTTATGTCACCAATGTTTTTCTTACAGAGACTAGCGAAGGCTTCACTGTACCATTGTAGTCTTTTTTTATTGTTCCTAAAATGATTGTGTTGTATTAAAAGCGTGCTGATGAAGTGTGAGCAATGACAGCAGTGAGTGATCCGGTCACCTTACCTCCTGACTTACAAGAAACCATTCATCACAAAAGGTAAAACATTATACATAATATATAATGCATACATTATACATAATATATAATGAATACATACATAATATATAATACATATATACATTTACATTAAGTTATGTTTTGCGTTCATTCCATCCATTTGTATCACCTACACTTTCCCTGTAATAAATATGTCCGCCACACGTCTCAGCACTGTCACACACACGTCTTAACACCATCTTAACCTCCGCTCAAATGAGCGCCGGCAGTGAAATGTTGTCTCACACGACCTGAATGAAGCAGCTCAACAAAACCTTCGAAACCTCACGTTTCCTCCAACAAGGTAAACATTTACAAACCCACTGCTGTTGATCTCAATAGTTTTAATTGCCTTGTCAAGTGTATAAATGATATTTTCATATTCGCTAAGTTACCTTGTTAGGTCAATATACCTCTGCTCTCGTGGTTTAGATATCTCCTATAGACTTCAGACCAGTGAAGCCAATTCAGGTTGTCTCGACGCAATGATTACGGAACCGTGAGTAATGACTCGACTGGGATTGTAGGGAGATGAAAGCGGACGAACAAGCTACTCACAGGATATATATATACACACACCCAGAGGTGTATTTCTCTTGATGTATATATGCTAACAGTTTACTTTGACCCCCATCTGAGGGATTAGAATATCAGGTTACTTGTAGCCTTAATGACCCTAGTGTAGTCGATAGGCTTTAAACCCCAGTAGCCAACCAGACGGTGGTGTTGTACACCTGCCACACACCAGCAGACAGGTGTTGTACACCTGCCATATACCAGCAGACAGGTGTTGTACACCTGCCATATACCAGCAGACAGGTGTTGTACACCTGCCATATACCAGCAGACAGGTGTTGTACACCTGCCACACACCAGCAGACAGGTGTTGTACACCTGCCACACACCAGCAGACAGGTGTTGTACACCTGCCACACACCAGCAGACAGGTGTTGTACACCTGCCACATACCAGCAGACAGGTGTTGTACACCTGCCACACACCAGCAGACAGGTGTTGTACACCTGCCACACACCAGCAGACAGGTGTTGTACACCTGCCACACACCAGCAGACAGGTGTTGTACACCTGCCACACACCAGCAGACAGGTGTTGTACACCTGCCACACACCAGCAGACAGGTGTTGTACACCTGCCACACACCAGCAGACAGGTGTTGTACACCTGCCACACACCAGCAGACAGGTGTTGTACACCTGCCACACACCAGCAGACAGGTGTTGTACACCTGCCACACACCAGCAGACAGGTGTTGTTACACCTGCCACACACCAGCAGACAGGTGTTGTACACCTGCCACACACCAGCAGACAGGTGTTGTACACCTGCCACACACCAGCAGACAGGTGTTGTACACCTGCCACACACCAGCAGACAGGTGTTGTACACCTGCCACACACCAGCAGACAGGTGTTGTACACCTGCCACACACCAGCAGACAGGTGTTGTACACCTGACACACACCAGCAGACATGTGTTGTACACCTGCCACACACCAGCAGACAGGTGTTGTACACCTGCCACACACCAGCAGACAGGTGTTGTACACCTGCCACATACCAGCAGACAGGTGTTGTACACCTGCCACATACCAGCAGACAGGTGTTGTACACCTGCCACATACCTGCAGACAGGTGTTGTACACCTGCCACATACCAGCAGACAGGTGTTGTACACCTGCCACACCAGCAGACAGGTGTTGTACACCTGCCACACACCAGCAGACAGGTGTTGTACACCTGCCACATATCAGCAGACAGGTGTTGTACACCTGCCACACACCAGCAAACGATAAACGCTAAACGAGACAATGAAATCTAAACGTGAAATATTTACTGACCTTCAAATGACTCATTTACGTGTTAAACATGTGCTCTCTTGTACCCATTTCCCGCCTCTTGAACACGCTTCCCTAATCTACTCAATCAAGTCCTCCGAGTATCTAGTACGCTCTAATCATATTTCCCTCAGGCCCTTCAAATCCTCGAGTACTTTCGGGTTCATTTCTTTCCCGGAGTGTGTACTCTATCGATTTAATAGTTCTGTAGGTTACCGAAATAGTATTGCGCTATTATAATCAAGAAGAGACGATAAATCCGTAGGGGTCATGAAGAATCTAGTAATCATGTATGATCTAAGAAAGGAGACGGTACCTCAAATTTCTTGAACCAAAAGTCCCTCCACCTGCGACCTTTAAGGTCACATTATCGAGAAAAATCGACAAAAACTAATTGTTATAAAGAAAGAGAGAGAGGAGAGAGAGAGAGAGAGAGAGAGAGAGAGAGAGAGAGAGAGAGAGAGAGAGAGAGAGAGAGAGAGAGATAGAGAGAGAGAGAGAGTCAGAGTCAGAGTCTTAAATAATGTGAATTAGGGTGTTGCACGTGTCGCCTAGTTGGAGTGATGAAAGTTTTGCACAATTTTTGGAAAAGGGGGGGGGAGGGGGTGCACGTGTCGCCCAACTCATCATTAAAATAAGACATTGACAAGGAAGCTCCTCACTACACAACTACACACACTGCGAACAATCTTGAGCTATAGATTTCCATATTAAGTCTTCTAAAAAAAATTCTCATACGTTTGAAGATA